CCCTGGGAGATTGGCAAGAGCCAAGCCTGGGCCAGCAGGGCCCCCCAAGAGACACCTGGCTCTGGAGAACACCTGTCCCCAGGGCAGCCCTGAGGTTCCCCATCCATGGGTCCTGCACCTGGCCTCACGAGCACTCACCTCCCTGGGCTCTACGCCTCAGAAACCCCAGTCCCCACAGACCCACACGGCCTGTTGTCAGGCGCACGGCCCCACTACTCGGCCTGCTTTTCTCCCATGGACACAGACGCAAACCCAGCAAGATCACCAGCAGGATATCCAGGGAATCCACACCTCCCGTAGCCAGACTGGAAGACGCTGGCCATCCTCTGTCCCCACATGCGAAGTAAGTCTTCCTTCCTGCAACGCACCTGTGCCACCTTCCAGGGTTCTGGCACTTTCGGGAGGAACCTGCACCTCACCCACTGATGCACACACACACACACACACACACACATGTACTTGCCCATCTGCCACACTGCGGTGGCACAGAGCATCCAGAGTGTCAGGGTGTGTGCCCACTGACTGGGTAGACCCCACCTGACCCAATGGTGGCCTCCGCCAGCCTCAGGGCTCAGACCAGGTGAGTCTTTGGCAAGTACACAGCATCCCTATGCCAACAAGGATGCCCCCAGGATGCCAGAGAGCTCTGTGGGGCTCAGCCCTGCCCACAGCTGTGCCAGGAACAAGTCAGTGCCCACTCAAGCAGAGCCTGGAGCTGTTGCAGCAGAGGACTGTACTGGGGACAGACAACACAAACACGAGGACAGATGGGCCTGGCACGGGATCCACTGTCCCCTGTGGGGTGTCCCTGACCCAAGAACAGCAGGGCAGCCTCTCCCAGAAACCCGAGGGCCTTCTGGAGCCAGGGAGTGGAGCATGGGAAGCCTCTGGCAAGATGCTCCAGCTGCACTCGAGGAGCCGAGGCACCGCTCCTTCACAGGCCACATCCTCCCTGCCTGGCTAGGAGCCCCAGATTCCTCCAACCCCAAGCACTGCCAAACACCCCGCGCCTCAGGCCCCACGGCCCAACAAGCTCTCCTGGCCCAGCTCCCAGGCTGCCCAGCCCAGCCGGCCCACCCCAGCCATCTTCCCCAGCCTGCCTTAAACTGGGGAGCATAAGGGACTGCTCTAGTCCAGGTCTCTGAGCCCAAGGCCAGCCGCTCCAACCTGCACGGGGCCTGGCTGTGCGGCCTGGCAAGGGTGAGCCACAGGAAGGCCGAGCCGGAGAACTGCAAACACTCCGGGAGGAAGGAAGAGGCCAGTGCCCGGGGAGGCGCCGCACTGCCCAGGACAGGACTAGCCCAGTGGCCAGGTGACAGGCGTGTCCGGGCGACACCACACCCAAAGGGGACACGGTGCAGGTCCCAAATGACCTCACTCAGCCTGGGCTGCCAACGTGCCCTACCTTGCTCATGACACCAGTGTGCAAAGGGGCGGGGTGACATGGCTTGAAATCCTCCAAACAAGGGTTTTCAGTAAGTGCACGCAGCACACATGACTCATTCCACAAAGCTTTATTGAGCGGCTCCCGCTGCCACTCCAGGCAGTCACCACCAAGGGTGCCCAGGCCAGCCGGGAGCCAGGGGCTGCAGCCAGGCAGTCACAGAAGCTGGCTGCATCAGGTGGGGGTGTGGGAGGGGGGGCTGGGCCAGGAGGAGGAGGGCAGGAGTCTCCCAAGCAAGGAGCAAGGCAGAGGCACTCAGGGAAGCTCAGAGGTGGGGAGCACCTGGAGGCCAGCACAGGAGTGGGGGTGCACAGGGCAAAGCCAGGAAAAGCTGAGGCTGGGCAGCTGGGTGTGCCAACGAGGGGCCAGGCACAGGGCACACCTGTCGTTCTCCAAGTCTCTTCCAGGCATGTGGGTTGGGCCACCTCCTCTGGAGCCTCGCAAGGTCCTCCTGCAAGGACACGAGGTCCCACGGGGGCCACCAGCCTCATGGCAAGCTCCTGGCAGCCCCGCGGGGCAAGAGAGCTGCTCTATTGGGAGGGAGACACCAGCTGTGCCCATGACACCCTACTCACTAAGCCATGCATAGGCAGTGAGAAGAGAGGTGGGTGCCACCGCCACAAAACCTCCCTTCTGTGGAAAGGCCGAACTGCGGGGGACTGAGGGCCACCCAAGGGCCAGCTCTCTGGGCTATGCCAGGGCCTTACCACCCCCCAGCTGCCCTTCAAGTTGCTCCTGGACACCAAACGGCCCCAGTGTCCTGCATCCCTCCTTTTCTTTCCCCTGCCTGCCCTCTGCTGGAGCTGGGAGAGGGCAGGAGGGAGGGGTGGAGGCCACCAGCCAGGCTGACTCTAGCTGCATTCCCAGGGCCCCTGCCAGCCCGCCCGGGCCAGGCCATGGACTCCTTGGGTCACTACCTTGCTCTTAACAGCTGAGATGAGACAGGGCTACAGAGAGCTTGGGGTGCTGTCCAAGTTGAGGGGCAGTGGCCCCTAGAGAAGAGAGGTAGAGAGCGGGACACACAAGGAGGGAGAGAGCTGCAACAGGAGCTATCATCCAGGCTGTGTCCAGAGGCCGTCTTCACCTGCACAGGAACCTGCACAGCCAGGGTGCCTGACACCCTTCTGTGACCCCAGGTTGGGGGACAGCCTGTCAGCCCAAGAGGCACCCACAGCTCCAGAGGACAAGGACAGCCGAGGAGGAGCACCACTTCGTGAGCGTTCCCGGGAGTGCAGTCCTGGTACCCCGCAAGGGGACCAGAAGAGCCAGACTCCCTTCTGCCTTGCACCATGACTTGCACACGCACATGTACACACATGCACACACATGCGTGTGAGGTACACAAACACTACCACATTCCTAGTAGCACAAAAAGGCCCTCCCAGCCCAGTGGCTGCTGCACTTCCAAGCCTGAATGTGGAAGTGGGGGGACTGTCCCTGTGTCCCTGCTCCAACTGAACGTGCAGACTTAGACCATAGGTCGGCCCCCACTGACATCAGCAGTCAGGACTTTAGAGACTTCCAGCAGAAGTTGGGAACCCCAATATCCTCTTGTCCCTGTCCAAAAGGGGCAGCCTGGGGCCAGGGGAAGGTGCTAATTGAGGGAGAGGCGGGTGCTGCTAGGGTGGGAGTTACACAGCAGGCTCCCCCACTAGTCAGGCATGGCTCAGGGACAGCTCCCTCACCCACCAGAAAGATACCCCCCCATACTGAGGGGCTGTTTGGGGGCGCTGAGGAAAGCTGGAGGGACCTGGCCGGCTTCCCTGAGGGTGAGAAGACCGGGATGTGCGTCCTGCCCCACGTAGCGAGACTCGCCCAGTGGAGCCAGACCCCTGTGCATCCTGGGGCACAGGGTCCTGCCAGGGCCGCGAACACAGAGGGGGGACACCGCCAGGCAGGGTCTACCTAAGCACCAGGCCCTGAGCCCAAAGCTTGACCCCTCCGGCCCTGGCGAAGAGAAATGCATCCGCTGGCGCCCCGCAGGGCTCAGCCCGCCCCAGCTTGTCCGGGGCTCGAGCAAGTGCCGTCCCGGTCCCAAGAAAAAGTTGGGCGGCCAGGTCCCCGGGGCTCACGGTGACGGAACGCGA